TTAGGAAAAGTTGATGCTTCAGATAAAAAATTTCTCTGATTTAAGCTGGAAACACTTATTACTTCATCTAAGCTACAAAAAAAAAAAATTATACAAATTTTAACAGGAGAAATATTTTTTACTTTCCTGTAAAATTTTAATTTTGTGGCGTTTTCAAAATACAGTTTTCAATTGTAAATAAATTTTATTTACTACTGTCAGTCACTTTAATGACTTTTCGAGTAAAGTTTTTTAAAAAACCAGTTAGTGATAACATAAAAAAGAAGGAAGTCAAAAGCTTGCATAAATAAATAATGTTGAAACATATTCTAGTCGATTCACTAAAATAAATTACAGTAATTTAAATTTGGTGTAAAATGTCCCTCAAAAAAAGTTCCTTAATAACTCGATTAATTTTATTTGTTTAAAATTGCTAAAACAAGTATACAAAAAAAGAATGTTATATTACGAAGTTAATATATATTTTGAGCACTTAAAAATTATTTTTTCATCTGCAAACCTAAAATTGTAGCTGCCTAAACCTGCCTAACCTGCGAACCTAAAATTGAGGCTTAATTTTTTTTAGCTGCGAACCTAATATTGAAGAACCCCTGAGGAAAATTTGCAACTTTTAATAAGCTTCAGCTTTAACACTATAAAAACAACTTATAACTCGCGCAAGCGAGTTATTTTTTAAATTTTTATTGATCTAGATTATGGGTTCTACAGGGTTAAAGGTTGGTCCTACTCTAAAAAAACACATGGATAAGGTGGACCAGAGACATTACCATCAAAAAATGTTTGATTACGCCTTTTTTTATTTTCGTCATATGACCAGTTTTGAAGCAATTTTGCCCCATTGTGTGACGTGTATTGAAAATTTATTAAAGTTTTATATAAATACGCAATTATCTAATATATGTAATTTTAACATTATGTTAATGAAAAAATTCTTTTAGAATAATATTTTATTGCAACGTTACTTAAAATTAATTTTTGACATTAACATAAATAAGATTACTTATTTATTTCACACATTTAAATTATTTTACATTTACATGAATTAAATTACTAATTATATACCTATTATTGTATACCTATAAATTAGATTACATTTACATTACATTTATTATACCTTTACATAAATTTGATTACTTATTTAAATATAACTTAAATAACTTATTGATACTTCTATTCCAGGCTTTAAAATTTGTTTTGCTTGTAAGCAAGCAAAAAAAAAATTAAAAATAGTTGAATGTTCACAAAGAACTATATTTAGAAGGTACTAGGTAAAATGCGAACTGCGAACCGCGAACTGCGAACCGGTAAAATGCGAACTTTTTTGCGAACCATTGTCCTATTGGTTGTTAATGATGTAATGTTTTATTTCCGTTAAATAATTCATTTAACGGTATATTTTAAGGACTTTTAAGCGAAAAAATTAATTAAAAATAAATAAAAGGAAATTAAAAAAATACAATATAATATTTTTTTTTAAAAATTATTTGATAGACTGCCCGCCCAAACCAAACCCTCAGTCGATTTAGCAGCACTCCGTTGCGAGTCAGGCTATAAGATAGTCGATGTAGCAGCATTCCGTTACGAGTCAGGCTATAAGATAGTCGATGTAGCAACGCTCTACGCATGTTTTACAGTTAAAAAGTAAAAAATTTACTTTAAATAAAGCCTTAAAATAGATAATTAAGAATTGGAGAGTTTTTTTATTATTATTTTTATCATAACAATAATGGTCTCTAAAATATAATGTTTTGGTTCGCAAAAAAGTTCGCATTTTACCGGTTCGCAGTTCGCGGTTCGCAGTTCGCATTTTACCGACAACCTATTTAGAATCATCTAACATTTAATACAGTAAATAGAAAGTGTGCAAGTAGAAACTACTTGAAAATCAATAATAAAAAAAAAGATGATTATTGCTTTGGTCAAAACTATGGCAAATCCTCACATGGCTGAGCCAGTTTTGGCCCAAAAATGCACAAGTTTTAGAGAAAAGGTCCAGACTATAAAGAAAAACCATATAGTCAATAATTTTAAGATATATAAAGCTTCAATTCGCAATGCTGAAAAAAATTTATAGCAAGAAATTGTGTAGGAAAGTTTTACAAATTATTGTGTAAAAAGAAACCAAGTATAATTATGGACGAGGAAACTTAAGAAACTTAAATTTTGAAATAATATCAGGACATTTATATATAGGGGCCTGCAGGTAAATGGTTAAAACAATAAAATTAAAGAAATTCCTAAAAAATATTATGGATGAAAGCCATTTTTAACATGAACTGAAATCACAAAGTTTTGTTAATTAATAGTAAAATATACCTAAAGTATCTAAAGTTACAAGAAAAAGGCTCAGTGCTATTATGATAGATATGATAAATATATAGATATGATTATGTACCGTAATGCAATTTTTAGGCTTAGACACTTACCATTACTCCAAATCCATCGCAAACTTTGTTATTTTAGAATATATTCGGAAATTGTTAAAACCAAATTACATATACCAAGTGCTTCAACAATTCTCAGTACACAAACTATTAGATTTTCAGAATTATGTCAG